TTAATTATCTAATTTATTTAACCCATTCTATCCAGATTCTATCACTTTGAAATGTAATCATTATAAAACTATTAATGCAATAGTTTGCATTCATTTTCTTGTACTAAGTCGTTGAAATCATGTGTGTTTTACCCTTTTATAGCACATCGTTTAGCCCCTTGCAGCACACATCACTGTAACCACCTTTCCATGGTCGACTGCAGCATGTGGCGCTTGGCTACTATATTGACAGCACTGCTCTTGAACATAAATCCAGGAGTGGAATTGCTGGATCGTAGTGGAAGCCCACCCTCAGTTGATGTGTCGTCATCCTCAGATAATGCTATTTTCCTCTGAAGTGCTTGTACCAACTGATATTTCAACACCGTTACTCACGGTGTCACTAACACTAACACTTGGCATTTTCAGATGCTTTAATATTTGCCAACTTGGAGCACCTGTAATATCTTATTATTGTTTTAATGTGTATTTTCCTGATTGCTAATGAGGTGGAGTTGCTTTTCATTGGTTTACTGGCTAGTTGGATGCTCTCCTTATGAGGCATCTGCTCATGTCAGCCCATTTTTCTGTATTTCCTTTTTCTTCTGTTTTGGTAGAAATTCTTCTTCTATTCTGGATACTGGTACCTCAATGCTTATATGTGTTGTAAATATCTTTTCTCATTTGATGGCTAATGATATTTGATACGGTGTCTTTTATGAAGACCTCTTAATTTTAATATAGTTCAAGTTTTCAATGTTTCTCTTTACAGATAGTGCTATTTATGTCTTGTTCAGGAATCCTTCCCTCCCATAAGATCACCGAGATATACTGCTACATTGTCTTTTTTTTAAAATAATTTTATTTATTTATTTTTCCCCCCAAAGCCCCAGTAGATAGTTGTATGTCACAGCTGCACATCCTTCTAGTTGCTGTATGTGGGACGCGGCCTCGGCATGGCCGGAGAAGCAGTGCCTCGGTGCCCACCCGGGATCCGAACCTGGGCCTCCAGAACCTCTAAGCCACGGGGCCGGCCCAACATTGTCTTTTAACAGCTCTGTTGTTGTGTCTCTCAAACAGCAATAGGTCTTCAATCCACCTCCACTTGAGTTTTGTGCCCGGTATGAGATAGGGGTGCAATTTCATGTGATTGAATTTAGATCCCTAGTTGCCCACATATGTCACTGAAAAGTCTTTTTGTCACTTTTTTGTCATTTCCTCTATCATAGGTGATGTTTCCTGTGGTTAAGGTCTACGTGTAGGTTCTCTATCCTGTTCTATTGGTCTATTGGTCTTTCTCAATGCAACACCATCTTATTTTCTCTAATGTTGTAATGTATCTTGATATCCTGCAGAGCCACTCCTCGCATATTCTTCTTTATCATTGCCTTGGCTATACGTGGAAATTTCTACTTCAGTATCAACTTTACAACGGAGTTACCAAGTTCTACAAAAATCACCTGGGAGATGGGTGACATATTGCTTTGATGCTACACATAAATTTTGGTAGAATTGAAATTTACACAATATTGTTTTCAAACTCATTAACATGCTGAATTTTTAAATTTATTTACATCTTTAATGTCCTTCAATACAGATTTATAATTTCCTCCACTGAGGAGGTGCACATTATATCTTTGCTATCCAGATCTCTAAATAGTTAGGCATATTCTGGGCATATCATAATTTCTTATGCTATCTTCAATGGCACCTTTTATAAAATACCATTTTTTGTTTTTTACTGTGATTTGGAAATGCAATTGACTTTTGTAAATTTTTTTGGACTTTTTAATTTAAATTTAATTTTGTCTCTAGCAACCTTGCTAACTCTCCTATTAAGCCCCCAAATCCATGTGTATATACTTTTGGATTTTTCTATATATGCAATCATTGATGAAGAAAGACTTCTTTTTTTCTGTTTTTCAATTCTTATATCTTTTGCTTATGTTTACTGCCTTCCTCGGATAAGACCTGATGCTACTCCATTAGCTGGGATGTTTTCTGCAGACACTCTTTATCTTGTTAGGGAAATTTTCCTTTATTTCTAGTTGGCTGTGAGTTTTATCCTGAAGGCATTTGAAATCACCCCATGCTCATTTTATTTTCCCTTGAGATTTAGTCAGTCAAGAGCCAATCATGAAAAGAGAGGCCACACTATGTGTTTCAACAGAGAGAATTTAATGCAAAGAATTTGTTATGCAGATGTTGAAAGGCCAATGGAGCACAAAGGGAGCATTACCTAAACATCTTGGACCACTCTAATCTAAGTACTCAGCTTGAGATTGTTTTTTATATATTTTTAATAAATTTTTCTTTTTTATATATTTTCTTTTGTATATATTTTTCTTCTATTGACATATAATTGACATGAAATTATGTTCATTTTGTTACCCTGACCTCTGGCCCCATAAGACATTAACCACAGCCCTGCTCAGGACAAGCCTAACGTGTTGTCTTTAGCTTGCAGGAAACCACAAAGAAAGGAAGGAGATGGCTGAACCAAACTTCAGTGTCCAACATAATGATTCAATATATATCTATATATTGTGAAATGATCACCACAACATGTCTAGCTCACATCCATTACCACATATAGCTACAATTTTTTTTTCTTGTCATGAGAACTTTTAAGTTCTACTCTCCTAGCAACTTTAAATATTTAGTACAGTATTATTAAGTATATTATTATAGTTAATAGTATTATTAACTGGTATTGTTAACCCTAATGACCATGCTGTATGTTACATCCCCATGATTTATTTATTTTATAACTGGAATATTGTACATTTTGACCCCCTTCAGTGAGTTTGCCCACCCCCACTCCCTGCTTCTGGCAACCACTGATCTTTTCTCCGTATCTATAAGTTTCCTTTTTCTTTCTTTTTTTTTTTAGGATTCCACATATAAGTGAGATCATACGGCATTTGTCTTTCTCTGTCTGATTTATTTAGCATAATGCCCTCAAGTTCCATTCATGTTGTTGGAAATGACAGGATTTCTTTCTTTTTTACGGCTGAATAATATTTCATTGTGTGTGTGTGTATATATCACATTTTCTTTATCCATTCATCCATCAATGGAAACTTGGATTGTTTCCATGTCTTGGCTATTGTAAATAATGCTGCAATGAACATGGGGGTGCAGATATCTCATTGAGTTAGTGTTTTCGTTTTCTTTGAACAAATACGCAGAAGTGGAATGCTGGGTCATATTGTAGTTCTATTTTTAATTTTTTGAGGAACCTCCACACTGTCTTCCATAGTGACTGCACCAGTTTACATCCCACCAACAGTGCACAAGAGTTCCCTTTTTTCACATCCTTGCCAGCACTTGTTACTTCTTGTTTTTTTGATAATCCCAGCTTGAGATCTGCTAGACCACCAGCTGCTGTGAATTTGTGCTGCACGACCACATGGATCCTGGCCTTCTTCACTTCCTGCTTTGCCCCGCCATCTTCCCTGCAGCACGTGAGGAGTGGGGGATGCAGCTAGTGTTCTCTGGTTTCCCCTGTCCCCGCAGCAGGGGCAGTCCCGGGTGCTGTGGAGCCTGACATTTATACAGATGTTGAGATCACTGCTTAGAAAAAAAAAAAAATAAGAAACATGCCACACATATGAATATTTTTGAAATGAGAAAACACATCACATCAAATCATAAAAGCTAAAAAGCTCCAAGGGGCGGCCCAGTGGCGCAGTGGTTAGGTTCACATGCTCCACTTCAGCAGCCAGCGGTTCATGGGTTTGGATCCCAGGCGGAGACCTACACACCGCTCATCAAGCCATGCTGTGGCAGTGTTTTACGTACAGAATTGAGGAATATTGGCACAGGTGTTAGCTCAGGGACAATCTTCCTCACCAAAAATAAATAAATAAATAAATAATAAGTAAATAAAATGCTCAAAACCCAAATATCAAACAACTTAGAAAAATTAGAGACTATTTTTATTGATAGTATAGAATATTTGTCTGGCACACCTGCATAACACATTTTCCTCACAGTTTTTCACTCATACTCTTTGATCACCACTTTAGACGAGAATAATCGTGTTATATAGTATATTAACAGATGTTAATATTATATTAATAAATATATTAAATTATAAGTATATTCTACATATATAATAGAAAGCATAGAAAGAGAATTCAGTATTTCCTTTGGCTCGACTGATTGCAATTTCTTTTTATCTTTTATAGTTTAAGAAACTTTCTTTCAATCCCACAACTTGTCACTAGGAAGGTCTAAACTGTTTAAGATCCTTGTCAAATTTGGGGAAACTCTGATCAATTTCTTTCGTAAAAGAGCAGGAGGATTACAGGTTGTTTCCACACACTGCCTGGGCCCTCGCCGGGGCTTTGAAAAAGGCACGGTGCCTATGAGGGGCCCTGAAGATTGAGCTTGTGTGCTGAGGTCTAGCCTTTTGGGAGCCCCGCTGAATGGGGACATCCTGTTTTGTGCCGGCCTTTGCTCCATCGCTGTCCCCAACACCCTCAGATCGTTAAGACCAGCACCCAAATGTGCCAGCTTTGTGCCTTCAGAGTAAAGGGCTTTAACCCTCAGCTTTCCTCCTTGAGTTCCTCCTTCCACTGGATTTGGAAATGTTATCCTTTTCCAGAACGTTCCGTGGTTTTCAGCTGGAGGGGGGGTTCCCATCGAATCACCCAACCAGCCCTCCTTCCTCTTTTCTAACTGCTCTGGCCCCTCGGTGGCTTCATTCTTGACTTAAACAGCATTTGGAAGGTGATCATTTCCAGATTCCTGTGTGGACGAGACTCTCAATCTCTAGGGACCCCAGGATATTCACCTGCAGCGTTGGGTGAAGGGAGAGGGTGGGACAGGATGGTTTCTCAGCCCCTACCTTCCTCCACGCCCTGTGGTGTCTAAGTTCCCCTTCCGTGGAGGCTGCAGCTCTCCCTCATGCACTGGCTTCCTGTTGGGGCTTCCTCGGCTCCACCTCACATTCGGGGCATTTCCTTGCCTGACAGAGGGAGCTGGACCCGGGCTTTGCCCTGGCCGAGGCAGACATGGTGCCCCTGCTGCTGCTGCCCCTGCTGTGGAGGGGTGAGTGGGCCGAGGGGGGAAGGACGGCTACTGGTGGGGGAAGGGGCTGGAGCTGCAGCTGAGCCTCTGTGTCCCCCCAGGGTCCGTGCAGCAGTATCCAGGGTACCAGCTCCGAGGGCAGGAATTGGTGATCGTGCAGGAGGGTCTGTGCGTCCTCGTGCCCTGCTCCTTCTTCTACCCCCGGGATGCGAGGTATGGTGAACTCTACATGTACTTGTTCCGTGATGGGGACAACCTGCGCCGCCGTAGCCTTGTGGCCACAAACAACCCAAGGCAACAGGGGAATACAGAGACTCAGGGCCGGTTCCGCTTCCTCGGGGACCCCAGGACCGACTACTGCTCCCTGAGCATCAGAGACGCCAGGAGAAGTGACACAGGCGTCTACTCCTTGCAACTGCAGAGAGGACATTATGTGAACTACAATTACAGAGAAAAGAAGCTGAATTTGCAGGTGACAGGTATGGCAGCAGCCCCAGGAGAGAACCCTGGGACTTGGAGGCCCTTGTCTTAGAACAGGAACAGGACACTGGAACGTTCTCTGCTCCAGACCTTTGGGCTGGGATGGTCAGAAGGGATACAGGACCTAAGGTCAGCTCAGGCCCTGAGGCTCTGGGCCCTCTCAGGGTCCCCACTCCTCTGGGGCCCAGACATCTCCCTGTCTCCTCCTCAGACATGACAGAGAAACCCGACATCCACTTTCCGGAGCTTTTGGAATCCGGCCGCCCCACAAATCTGACCTGCAGCCTGCCAGGGTCCTGTGATGGGGGAAGACCTCTCACGTTCTCCTGGGTGGGGGATGCTTTTGACTCGCTGGACCCTGGGACCCTCCAGTCCCCGTGGCTCACCCTCACCCTGAGGCCCCAGGACCACGGCACCAACCTCACCTGTCGGGTGAAACTCCAAGGAGCTCAGGTGACCACGGAGAGAACCATCCAGCTCAATGTCTCCTGTGAGTGCTGGAGGGATGGCTGGTCCCTGAACGCAGAGGGGTGTGTGTGTAGAGAAGGAAGAGAGCAAGGGCGAGCTGACCCGTGAACACTGGTGCATAGATCTGGGCCCTGGGAGTCCAGTTGGGGAGTGGGCAGGATGGCCAGCAATCCCCACCTTCCCGGTTTCCACCACCCTCCCTGAGGGCCAGCTCAACTTCCTTCCCACTCCTTGCCTCTGAAGCAGGGACATATCTTTCTCTCCCAGATGCTCCACAGAACCTCACCATCCGCATCTTCTCCAGAAATGTCACAGGTAGGAAAACGCCTCTCCTCTCCCGGCTGGGACCTGCCCCTGGGGCCACCTCTGAGCACAGAGCAGGGATCAGAGCTTGAATGGGATCAGATATGGGAAGAGCAAGGATAAAAATGACCACCCTCCCTCCCTCATCCACCTTGTGCCCGTGTGCACCCGTGCATACTCACACACATACACACACACAAACACACTCTGTTCAAAGCCCATTTCTCCCCACCATGGCACTGCTCTATGGTTCTCCTCCTACCCCTCCACCCCAGCATCCTTAGTCCTATTTCCTGCTGCATTCACGGAATCTATTTCCTGAAGCCATGAGACTCTTTGTTCTCGAACAGTCCAGGCATGTCCCAGTGGGACATTGAGCCTCCCCTGAAGATGTGAGTTCCAGACACTTTGGGCCAACCTCCTAGGTTGTAAAGGCCCAGCCTTTGAACCCAGACTCAAGACAATGGGCCAGGGGAGGAGAGGGAGATGCTAACCAGATGCTGGAAGGAGAGAGCGATGGAGACTGTCATCCTCCCACAGCTCACTGGCTCTCGCGTACACACACTCTCTCTCTCCAGAGCTGAAAAACTCAGGGAATGGCTCATGTCTCCAGGTCCTGGCAGGCGAATCTTTGCCCCTGGTCTGTGTCGCCAATAGCAACCCTCCAGCCACACTGAAATGGGTCAAGGTGAATGGGAACCTGAGCCCCTCTCAGGTCTCAAAGCCTGGGGTCCTTGAGTTGTCTCGAATACAAATGGAGCATGAAGGCAAATTCATGTGCCAAGCTCAGAACACACTGGGGCACCAGCTCATCTCTTTGAACCTCTGTGTGCACTGTGAGTGGAGGTGAGGGGAGAACCTGGGAGGCAGGACACCTGGGTCCTGTGGAGGGAAGAGGCACCACTGACCCTTCTCCTCTCTCCCCACAGACCCTCCACAGCTGCTGGGACCCTCCTGCTCCTGGGAGGATGAGGGTCTGCACTGCAACTGCTCATCCCGAGCTCAGCCAGCTGCCTCCCTGCACTGGTGGCTGGGGGAAGAAGTGGTGGAGGGGAACCACAGCAATGCCTCCCTCACAGTCACTTCCAGCTCTGCGGGGCCCTGGGCCAACAGCTCCCTGAGTCTCAGCAGGGGGTTCAGCTCTGGCCTCAGATTCAGCTGTGAGGCCAAGAATGACCATGGGGCCCAGAACATCGCCATCCTGCTGCTGCCAGGTCAGGGGTCTGTTGGGGCAGAGGATTAAGGGGAAAGGAATTATGATCCTAGAGAAGATGAAGCTTGGAGGGACAGAGGCTGGGGCCTGGACAGAAGGTGATTGCTAGGACAGGGTGCTCCATCTCTTGCCTGAACAGGGGGCCCTGGAGGAAGTTCTGCAAGGAGATGGGAAGACAAGAGACTGAGTCCTGGGAGTGCATCATCTCATGCGCATCTTCTCTGCAGGGAAATCAGTATCCCCGACAGGAGTGCTTCCTGCAGCTCTTGGAGGCGCTGGTGCCATGGCCCTGCTGTCACTCTCTTTGTGCCTCATCCTCTTTTGCATGTAAGCTTTGTCCTTGGAGGTACAGGGATGCGTGTGGTAGGGAGGGTGGAGAGAGGTGACTGAATCCCGGAAATGCAGAGCTGAGTAGAGTAGATCTAGAGGCATCTTTTTTAGGGCGTGGGTAACAGCTTTATTGAGATATAATTCCCATACATTTAAAGTGTACAATTCAATAGCTTATAGTATTTTCACAGAGTTGTGCATCCATCACCACAGTCAATTTTAGAACTTCTTCATTAGCCCAAAATGAAAAAGAAACCAAAAAAAAAGGAAGAACTCCACATTCCTTGGTTGTCATTCCGCCCTCCTCCTCCCGGCAGCCCAAGCAACCACCAATCTGCTTCCTGTCTCTCTAGATTTGCCTACTCCAGGCATTTCATATAAATGGAATCATATGCTACGTGGTCCTTTGTGATTGACTTCTTTCACTTAGCGTGATGTTTTCAAGGTTCATTCATGTTGTGCCATGTGTCAGTTCTTCATTCTTTTTCATTTCCAAATAATGCCCCATTGTGTGGATGGAGCACATTTTATTTATCCATTCATTCATTGATGGATATTTGGGTTGTTTCTAGTTTTTGGCTATCATGAATAACACTGCTATGATCACTCATGTACAAGTTTTTGTGTGTAAGAGGGGTCTTTAGTGGTGGAAAGTCAGTCTTGGCCAAACCCCTGGTCCTCCAGGAGGATGGAGTACTCACTTTCATGTCAGGAAGGTCTCCAAGTCTGGTTCCAGGGTCTGGACGCAGTGTGATGGTTTCTTCTCTTAGAATGAAAGCCCGCAGGAAGCAAGCAGCCAGGAAACGAGAGGGCGTGGATGATGAAGACCCTGTCATGGGTACAGTCGCCTGGGTGAGTGATGTGGGCGTCTTCTCATGCAGTGAGGGGCCCTGTGAATGTTCATTCAGTGAGTCTATACTGAGCTTCTCAGCATTTGCCTAAACCTGCTGCTCCCTGCTCACCTGGGCAAACACCTGGGAGGTTACTTCTCTTCTGTTCTTCCCTTTCATCTCCCAGAGTCAATGGCCCTCTGCTCCCCTCCTGCTCCAACCCTGCTCACCACTGAGCTCACCTCACCTCTTTGCCAGATACAGGCTGCCAGAACCATCTTCCAAAATCTATGACTTTCCAGCCATTCTGGAGTTTCAATGTTGTTTGCTCCCATTGCTTGGAGAATCAAGTCATGTTCCTTGGTCCGATATTTGAGGTCCTTCTTGAGGTCTCTCCCAGTGGCCACTCCAGCCTCTGGTTCTGCCCCATGGTCCAGCCACACTCACTGTCTCCATACAGTGACTTCCTTATGACTTGGAGCCTTTGCATGGACAATTCCTCCCACCTGAAGTGCCCTTCCTTCCACATTTCCAGCAGACCACCTCGTCTCATTCTTCTAATTCCAATATCAACATCTCATACTCTGGGAAACCTTTGTCATTTCCCTCCCTGTCAATGTCCATCCCTCCTTCCTCTGTGTCCCCACAACCCCATGCCCATCCCTGTGCAGAGGGATGCATCACACATTTCATACATCACTATATTTACCTGTCTTCACCCTCTGATTGTACTTGTGAAGTCCTTGGGGGCAGGGGCTAGAATTTTCTCTCACTCAGTCTCTGTCCTGTGTGTCCCCTCGCCCCTTATAGAAAATTGGGCCATGTTGGAATGGAATTATTGCACAGGCTTTGTTCATGACGAAGCTGTTATCACTGGAACAAGCATGGTTCACTTTTACTTACTTCTTTTTATTCATAAGGGGATAAGTAACTGTGAACCCACCATCCAACCTAAGACCTCAAACACTGATAACTTCCATCTGCCCATGTTGATCCCTGACCCATCCTCAGTGACCACTGCTCTGAGCCTTTTGTTGCTAGTGTTATCACATATATGTGTACCTGAAATATACACTATTTAAATTGCTTCTGAACCTACAAAGGGGGTCACGCTCCATGGACTCTTCTTGGACTAGCTTTGTAGATTCAACATTATGTTGCAAAGATTCATCCATGCTGTTGCACAAAGTTGCAGTTCCCGTTGTATAATATGTCATTTCACGATTACATCTATTTCTAAGCTCATATTGGTGGACATGTGAGTTGTTTCCAGATGTTACTATTACGAACATTCTTATTCATCTCATTGTATTCACATATAAGAGTTTTTCTTTAACATTATTTAAGAATTTAATTACTAGGTCCTTGGGTATGTGAATGTTCATACTTACAAGATCATGACAAATGGTTTTCCAAAGCAATTGCATCCATTTATAATCTCATCTATGCCTATGAGGTTCTGTTGAATACATTCTCTCCAGCACTTGGTTTTCTCAATTTTTTTCTCACCTCACTATCTCAGTATGGTGTTCATTTTCATTTCCTTGGTTGCCAATGAGGATGAAAATCTCTCTGCGTCCTCACTCGCATATGAACATCTCCTCTATAAAATACGTGGTCACATTTATAGCCCATTTTCCTTTTGAGTGGTTAACCTTTTCTTATTGAATTTGTTAGAGAGCTTCCTACATGTTTATACAATCTTTTTTGGTTATAGGCATTGTAAATATCTTCTCCCAGTGAGTAGCTTAAGTTCTTAATTGTAACATAACCGTATTCACCAAGCTTCTCTTTTCAATTGAGTGCATTTTGGGTGTCATTTGAGAAAATCTTTCCCATCCTAAAATTAGAAGGATATTCAAATATAGCTCCTACTAAAAGTTTTATGTTTTCTTTTTGACATTTAAAGAATCAATCTACCTGGAAGTGATTTTTTTTGTGTGATGTGCAGTGTTGATCTATGTATTTTCCTCCTTCATTTGTAGAATATTCTCTCCCTCCCTCCTTCCTCCATTGATCTGCCATGCCACTTCTGTCATACATTAAAATTTTACACAAGTGTGGGCCTCTTGGTCCAATGGTCAATTTTACTGTCCCTGCATCAGAACTGTCTATAGAGTCAACAGAATCTATAGACTCAAAAGTAAGTCCTGATATCTGATAGAACAAGATCCCTTCCTTAATCTTCTTCAATAATGTCTTGGCTATTCTTGGCCTTTTGTTCGTCTATTTAAATGTTAGAATTAGTTTGTCAAGTTCCAGAAAATGCTCCTGTTGGTGTATTGACTGGAATTACATTGAATCTATAGATCAATTAGGGAAGACTTTACTTGTTTATGAATTCAAGTTTTCTTATCCTCAGAAGCAGATATCTCTCTATTGGTTTAAGTCTTTTTTAATGTTTTCAAAAAAGATGTAGAATTCCTTCACACAGGTCTTAACACCTCTTTTGCTATTTTTGTTTCTAAATACTAGTTTTTGTTACTGTTATAAATGCTATTATTTTAAAAGTGCGTTTTCTGATTGCTCATTGCTGGCACATAGAATGAAAATATCTTTCTAAAATATGTGAGGTTGTTTTTTGCAATTCAAAAAGTCACAAATTGGTCTTGGGTGTCATTTAGAATCTTTTGCTTTGGTGGCTGGAGGATTCTTCGATCTTATTCATACGCCTGCTGAACGGTTCTTTTTCAGAGATACAGGTACCATCTGAAAAATCTGTGATATTCTTGTTTTTAACTGTCATGGCTCGCTGAATCAAAGCAGATGAATTGGATGCAAATGTAATGTCATTTCCTTCAAGAATCAGCTAGTCCTTTTGGGCTTCAGGTTCTAAACAAGAAACACCTGGCTTCATGAATTTTCTTCAGATCTTCTTCTAAGAGATTTCAGATTTCAACAAAAGACTCACTCTCCTGAATAAGTGATGAGGAAGTGAGCACACTCGGACTATCCCATCTGGCAACGGAAGTCCATGTAACGTAGATTGTGGGCAGGATGTGACTACAGATTGAACAGTAGCCACTTTTTTCATTTCTTCACCATTTGTCCACACACAGCTTCTCCTTTTACTTTCCTACATTGAAGGGGTTGCATTCCTCTGCTGAGTTCCTCTAGGGTCTTCACTATGAATGCTCATCTCTGTGTAGCGACACCCACCTCTTCTGGGGTGTCAGCTGTCTGGATGCTGAGAATTCTCTTCATTCTCTCAGTAGATGCAGCAAAGAGTGAAACACAGTGATATATTTAATTGATCTTATATTCTTCCAACTTGTGAACCTTTCCCGTTAGTTCTAATAGTTTGTGTATAGACATTGAAGTATTTTTCATAGACTTTTTTTTCAATTTAAAAAATATTACAAGTTGGTCTTGGGTGTCACTTAGAGTCTTTTGGGATTTCAAATTAGTTGATCATATCATCTGCAAAATACAGCTTATTTCTTCCGTTTGATCCTAAGTACTTCCTTTTTCTTGTCTTAATATCCTGGCTAAGCCTCCGAAGTCAAATAGAGGTAGTGATCATGAGCATCCTTTATTACTCCTGTTCAAAGAAAATACACCCAATATCTTGCCATTTAAGTTGGTTTTTGGTTGTAGGTTTTTTTATAGGTAACCATCATCAAGATAAGGAAGTTCCTTTTGATCATTAAATAACTTTTAAAATAAGTTTTTATCATACATTTCTGTTGAAATTTTCAAATGCATCTACTGATATGATTTTCCCCTAATCTGGTGAATGACAGTTAAAGATTTTCTAATGTGAAACTATAGCATTCCTGAGAAAGAACCAAATTATTCATGGTGTATATACATATGTATATACCGTCTAGGTAGATATAGTAGATATATAAATTATTATATATAAATAAATTATATATATATATAATTTTTTTTTTACACCCTAGTAGATTCAGTTTGTTATTCTTTGGTTTAGCACGTTTGCAGCTATATGCATGGGCAAAATAAGCCTGTCGTTTTCCTTTCTTATCCCATCATTTGCTTGTTTGGAGAATATTCCTACTTTTTCTATTATCTGGAAGAGAGTATATAAAATTGGAATGACTTGTTCTTTGAATGATAAATAAGTGTCACTAGTAAAACCACCTAGACCTGCTGTTGTCTCTATGTGCAATTTTTCTAATTCAGTCATTTTATATGTCTTCAGTGATTTTTTTTTTCTAGGAATTTGTTCATTTCACCAAAGTTTTATCATTTTTTGACAAGAGGTTATGGGTAGTACTGTCTTAATTCTGTACTTTTGGTTTTAATTAGGACTACTTCCCTTTTTACATCCCTGACATCAGTTATTTGTGACTTCTCTCTTCTTTTTCTAGACAAATCTTGTAAACTTTTTACCTATTTTATTGTTAATTTCAAAAAAAACCCCCAACTTTGGGGATCGTTGATTTTCTCACTGTATCTTAGTTTTCTACCTTATTTATTTTTACTCTCATTTTCTTAGCAGCTTCCTTCTACTTGCTTTTCTGATGCTCTTTCACTAACTTTTTATGCTGAATACTTAGCTTATTAATACATCTTCCTTCATTATAAAAGTATTCATGGATAAATTTATATCAAAACACCACTTTAACAATACCTATTTTTAAATTTTTTGCGACTTAATCTGTGGGCTGGTGTATGATGAATTTTTGTAAATATTTCCTGTGTGCTTAAGAAGAAGGTATATTTTCTATTTCTTAAATTCTATATAAGATCAATAGGCCAGTGTGTTAATTATATTGTTCAAATCCAAGTGTTTACTAATTGGTCTTCCTAACCTGTCAATAATTGAGAGAGGTGTGTTGAAATCCTGCACTAGGATAGCATATTTGTCAATTTTTCCCTGTGTTCTATCAAATATGTTTCTTATAGTTGATGTACTTTTACATTAAAACCATATATTTTAGGAGTCTTATATCTTGTCAATGAATTGAATATTTTATCACACATAGTAATCCTCTCTATTCCTATTGATACATTTTGTTTCAAAGTCTATTTGGTTGGATCTTAATATAGATACACCAATTTGTCATTGGTTAGTAAGATGCCTGATATTTTCCATCCTCTCCATCCCTCATTTTATTTATGCTTTAGCAGTGATTTTTGTAAACATTATATAACCAAGTTTTTCAAAATTCAGTTTGACACCTTTGTTGAGTCTACTCTATTTGTGTTTATTGTGATTATTGGTATATGTGGGCTTCTTTCTACTATTTTACCTTTTTCTTTCACTTGGATCAATTTTTTTCAATATTTTATTTTCTCCTTTCTTACTTAAAAATTTAATATCTCTGCGTTACACCTAAGAAAAAGAACTTGAGCATGCTTTTATATCTATTGGTCTCTCCTCCCTCCACCTTCCACAATTTTAGTTCTTTTCCTAGATCTCCAGTTTTCATTCTGGAGAATGAACATACCTAAAATTTTCCTATTCTTTGGTCTCCTTTTTTTTTTTTTTTAATACACAGCTACACATTTTACTGAGGTATTTTGTTACCTTTATATCTCATATTTATTGCAGCATTTCCTGCTTTTGTTATTTTTATTTGAATTCTTTTTGCTTGAATTCTTCCTCCCACTGTATTTTCAGTTTCAGTTTTCCTGTGTTAAGACTTCTGAGGACTTGTGTATCCGAAGATTTTTTTTATCCGCCTACATTTGAATTTCATTTGGCAGGATATAAATTCTAGGATCAAAGAGATTTTCTTTCTCTGCTTTAAACACTTTACTCCACTATTTCTTGTACCCAGCATTGCTGTTAAGAAACCTTATGTCAGTCTGAATCTTGCACATTTCTAGGTAATCCATTCATTCTCCCTGGAAACTTTTACACTTTCTCTTTTGATTTTTGTAAGATTCACTATAGTGTATTAGGGTGTGGGTTTTCCCTTGTCTTTTTTTCCTGCACTTGTGGGGTCCTTTCAGCTGACGTGATTCATCTTTCTTTAATTCTTGGAATTTTCTCTCCACTTTTTTTTTTCAAATATTTCCTCTTCTTTCTGTTTCATTTCTATTGCATTTGGGATCTATTATAATCTGAATGTTGAGATTTTCTTTTCTTTTCGTGAGGAAGATTGGCCCTGAGCTAACATCCATGCCAATCCTCTTCTTTTTCCTGACGATGACTGGCCCTGGGCTAACATCCGTGCCCCTCTTCCTCCACTGTGTATGGGACTCCGCCACAGCATGGCCTGACAAGCGGTGCATCGGTGCGCGCCTGGGATCAGACCTCCAGGCCGCCGCAGCGGAGCGCATGCACTTAACTGCTACACCACTGGGCCGCCCTGAGATTTTCTATTTCTTATCCTCTATCTACTTTAACTTTTCTTTTGTATGGTCAATTCTGCATCCTTCCCTACTTCCTTCTAGGGGAGACTTCAAACTACCCTTCCTGCTCACGAACTTGCCTCCGATTCTATTTGTTCTATTCTTCATCCCATCCATCGGGTTCATCCTATTTTATTTTTCAGACATAATATTCCACTTTTTACATAATTATATACATAGTTCCTTTTTAATAATTACACAATTTCTTGTTTTACATACATAGTTTCTGATGTACATAATGTCTTATTCCTGCTTTCGTGCTGCTAATATCATGGCTTACCTCTCTTAGTGCATTTAATACATTTAGTGTAAACTCTTGACCAAAGTGTTCTAATACTTGTGCTTTGGAGGTTCCATCAGCTTGTTCTTCTTCTGGGACATTTACGCTCTGCAGGTGTCCAGTCTTCTGACCTGTGAGCCCATATTCCTGGGGGATCTTTGCTATGTTGTCTGGCAGCATTGACTGGATGAGGGCGAAGGGCAGATGCTGGTCTATGTCACCTCAAAGGACAGAAGGGGACAAGCCCTCAGGCACCAACCACAGCCAATCATTCCCACTTCCCACCTCCCCAAGAAAGCAACTCAAGTTGCCCCTTTGCCTTCAGACCCTCAGGGAGAAGTAGCATCAGGCGGGGACTCTCCCTGGATTTTGATCCACCAGACTCGGGAGTTTGGAAAGGAGAAAATGGACACAAGAATCCCAAAGGCCAATGAAGCTCCTCCTCTGCTCTCCTCTGTCCCCCAGTGGGCCTTTGATGCTTATCCACAGATACCTGTGTATCACTGTCCTGTCCATGCTCTGAATTCTGCAGCACGGGGGCAGACAATGATTATCCCAGGGCAAGGGTAGAGGAGAGAAAGGATCAGAATTCAGGCAAAGTTGAGGCAGCCTATCCTCTCATCAACAAGCTGATCTCCCCAGCCCTGGGCTGCAGCACCCCGCGTCCCCAACTCCATTCTTTCAAATTAGCCTTTACTTTCCCTTATGGATTCTGGTGTGATTGATAAATCAATCGATTGACTGATTGGTTTATAAAATTTTGTCATCCCATAGTTCTGTGTGTAGTTCCTCTGTTGTTGGATCTTGGGAAATAGAGCCAGTAGAATGTGTGAATTCACCGTCCTGACAGGCACTGAGGTAGAGAGAACTTTGCTTTTCCCATTATTTTATTTTTTACCTTTCTGTGCACTTTCACACCATAGGCAGAATAGTAAAGTGATGAACTGCATAGTCCCTGGAGTTTGACTTCCTGCGTTCAAGTCCTGGATTCACGACTTCCAAGCTGTGTGACCTTGGACAAGTTAATTAACCTCTCTGTGTCTTTGCTTTCTCTTCTGAAAATAAGTCCATTGAGATGCCAGTACCTGTCTTACTGGGCTGTTACAAGAAGTGCTTAGAAGAGTGTCTAGCTCATGGGGACAACCCTTACAACTGTTACCTAATATTGCTGATCCCTCTTTAACAAGGAATTGCATGAAGGAAGATATCCTGGACTGTTTCTGTCCCTCTTCCATCCCATTTGCAAGAATGGCACCTAACTCATAGGAAGCACTTAGCAAAGAGGTATTAAGTGAAAGAATGAACACATCACTCTCTCCTGTTTATTAATCTAAGCTGCGTCTTGTTTTATGATTGTTAATTTAATCCTTTTTTCATAGACAGTAAGGCTATTAATGGACACGTGTCCTTATTTTCCCCTCTTTGGCTGCAGTAGGGTCAATGGACATAGCTGCTGCATCATTTCATCTTGCACATACCTAATATGGGCAGCTCTCTCCAGATAGTCTATTTTTTTATGACATGATGAAACCATTTTTTTCCTCATGTGGAATCCTTTTTCCCCCCCTTTCTGAGCTACTATTGGAAGGCTAATGTTGCTTTCAACAAACTTTTCTATAGCCTGATGGTGTAGGGGTCGGGGCAGACGTGGGAGAGGAAAGGGAATTGCTCACCAGTGTCTGGGTACCATCTTTACTGGGGATGTGGGTTCTGCTCTATTTTCATTTTTGTTTTATGGAACCTGGGTCCAGGATCCAGAAGTGCCATATCTTTTCTGGTTTCTGCATAAAATATCTCGTCACACACGCTGAAGTTATAAATTTGCTTTGACTATAATCTTGATCCTTGTCTGTCATCTGGTCCTCCTAGCAGACTGTAAGCTGCCTGAGGTCAGGACCTGTGTCCACTTGCTCACACTGTCCACCTGCACCCTTGCCCAGGACCTGACACAGGGGACACTGCCAATTACACAGCAAGCCTGGGCTTGATTCCTGAGCTTCATTTACCAGATGAGTGGCCTTGGGCAAGTTACTTCACCTCGCCCCACCTCAGTTTCCCTATCTGTACAATGGGGATAATAAGAGTATCATTCATACTGTGGGTTATTATTATTATTATTTTTTTTTTGGTGAGGCAGATTGGCCCTGAGCTAACATCTGTGCCAGTCTTGCTCTAGATTGTATGTGGGACGCCACTAAAGCATGGCTTGATGAGTGGTGTGTAGGTCCGCACCTGGGATCTGAACCCAGGAACCCCAGGCCACTGAAGCTGAGTGCGTGAACCCCTATGCCACCAGGCCGGCCCCTCCTACTGGATTTTTGTGGGGATTAAATGCGGTTAGTAAGCACTTGGTATGGCCTAACCAATTGTAGTATTACAAAATTTTAAAAGAAATAAGCAAATAGTTGAGTTCATAGGAAATGTGCATGGAATGAAAGGAAGAATGAGTAAATTTACCATCAGCCCGACTTCCCTTTGGGGACCATGCCCACCTTTATGCTTTCTCTGACTCCCTTCTCTCTCTTTTACTCAGGGTTCCAAGAAACAGCCCCAATCAGATGGCCCCCCAGACCAAGCGTGCCCTGCTGAGGATGCCCGTCCCTCAGTGGAGGAACAGGAGCTTCATTACACCTCCATCAGCTTTCACGAGATGAAGTCGTGGGAGCCTCAGGACCAGGATGCCACCAGCACCAACGAGTACTCCGAGATCAGGGCAAGCAAATGAGAACTCGCCCAGAGCTCGGTCCTGGAGGAGGAATCACAGCCTCTGTGGGGGAAAGGAGAAGTCAGGCACTAACTGAAACCTGAGGAGCCCTTGTGGCATTATTAACATGAACTACCGTATGAGCGTCCCCAGGTAGAGCAGAAAAAAGACAAGTGATGGGATGAGAGACTTGGGCTCAAATGCAGGCTCCAGCACTTCCTAAAGCATTGTTATCGAGCAATTCACTTCATCTCTTGGTGCCTCAGTTTCCTGTTCTGTAGATCAGAGATTGTGCATCCTACCTCAAAGGTGGTTGTGAACGTTAAAGAAATTAACACATGGAAATCAATCAACAGAGGTCCTGTCCTACAGCATGTTCTCAGTGCCTAATGGTCTCTCTTCCTTGAATAGAAAGGTCCTACTGGCATGTTCTCCTGAGGCTGGGGTGACCAGTCACAGGGGACAGCATAGCAATTTATCAACGTCATTCTCCTTCCCAGAACTCTTTGAGGCCTCCCCAGGGAACAACCAGCCCCTCAGCCCGGCATTTGGTTCATGTTATGGCATCTTATTATCTCCCTGGGGTCATCTCCTTACCCCACTTCTGCCTGTCAATTCTTCCAGCACATTCCTCCACATCCTGACTTCCAGTCCCTTCCCTATCTCATTTAAGGACCCCATAGGGATCTTTCCAACAGCCAGACAGCAGTCCCTGACTCTTTCCTGCACAAACCCATTCATGACTCCCTGACCTTAGATAATACAACACAAGCATCTGCTCCTGGAATTTGAAGTCCTTCATGACCTCACTGCTATCTACTCATCCATCCTCTCCTCTTGGCCAGTCTTCTTTAAACCTTCCATGCAGGTTCATACCAACATCTTTGCAATTTGAGGGCCCTCTCCTGGAGGTTGTGCCACTTTGCTTTCTTCTGGTTTACACCATCTTGTCCTTCAAACCTGAGTTCATGGACAGATTTGGGTTGAGAGGGTGGGTTGAACAAAGAGCTCATAGTCTCTGTCCTCTAAAGTTGAACAAATTTAATTTCTTTTAAAGAAAGCACTGAAACAAAAACAGCCAAAAATTCACCAGCAGCACTGTAGTGTAAGTGCCTAACAATAAGCTGTTTTGATTGTAATAAGCTTTTGATTGCTGACATATCCATTTCAAAGACATGTATCTTGAATAAACGTATGTCCAGCTACACAACTAGATAAAGAGCCAGGCCGCCTCACCCATGAAGTTCCTGTTTTAGAAATCCCTGGGTGACCTAGATAACTGACCTCTTGAGTTATCCCACTTTCCCCTTCCTTCCCTTTAATTTCTTCTCTTAACTTTTAAATTTGCCAACAGTGAACCTGCGAAACCCTACACACCCCACCCTTAACCCCAATAAAGGCAGAACCCCAGGTCTTCACCATCTCTCTCTCTCAACCAGTGACTTCACTGAGTGGCCCTGGGGCATGCTGTGTAGCCTCCAGGACTTGTGAGTAATAAAACTTGTTTTTTCAAAGTTTCCTGATGGTTGTTGCTGAACTATGTCCTGCAGTCATAATAAGAATCACAAGGGCTGGTTCAGCCACAACCTTCGCTCCACTCGGGGAAACATCTGTGGACCTCACCTCAAGTAATATGGGCTCAGGTGAGTGCTCTCAGCAGCAAAGCATCCAAACCCAAATAAATTATTTCCTAAACTTTAGAAAGTGGCCGTGAGGAAAGAAGTGGACAATTCCAGTGTGGAACTAGGACACTGATCCCCAACATCCACTCCCCAAGCCCCATTTTCAGCACCGTAAGGAGTTGAGTCTTGACTCTGGTTTTGGTAATGAGCATTCTGATCAAGCCTCCTGTTGAAAATGACAAAATCTTTTGGAAAAAATGAAAAGGAAAAAAAATCCCTCACTTGAAAAGTACAGAATATTTGAAAAGAAACTGGGACTATACCAGGCCAGATTTTGGGGAAGAGCTTGAACCCAGAGAATTAGGCAGAATATCTAAGAACATCTAATTATGGCATTTGCCCATACTGAACATGTGAGCTTTGGTTCTGTGGCCTTGTGTGGTCCTGGAAGTGAAAGTCAAGACTCTGGCTCTCCCGAAGGTTGGAAGTTTCATTGGAGACCACCCCCACATTGAGTTTGTATTGAAACTGGTGGCCAGGGAGCCATTAATGATTGGGTAGCCAGTGTAGGGGAGGAAGAACTATTCCTCTACCCTTTAGGTCCATCTGGCTGGTCTAAGAATTTAAATTGATGTGAGACAGAGTAACAGGAGAAAATCAAACAAAGTTTAATAATATGTGTACGTGAGAGAAACTCAGGAAAACTGAGTAACTCACCAGAATGGCTGAAGCCACCATGTTAAATACCATCTTCAACTCTAGACAAAGGAGGATGTTGGGGGTAGTTGTTTGGGAATTCAAAGAGGAGGAACGCAATTCATATGGAGATGGAAAAGCTAATGTTTGATAAACAAATGTTGACCACGCCTTGCAAAGACAATGAAAGATGGAGAGGACTTTGATTAAAAAGCCCTTATTAGGGGGCCAGCCCAGTGGCGCAGGCAGTTAAGTGCGCATGTTCCGCTGCGGCGGCCCGGGGTTCGCCGGTTCGGATCCCGGGTGCGCACCGACGCACCGCTTGTTAGGCCATGCTGTGGCGGCGTCCCATATAAAGTAGAGGAAGATGGGCATGGATGTTAGCCCAGGGCCAGTCTTCCTCAGCAAAAAACAGGAGGATTGGCAGATGTTAGCTCAGGGCTGGTCCTCCTCACAAAAAAAAAAAAAAAAAAGCCCTTATTAGGTTCCTCCCTGTCTATTACACCTAGTTCACATACTATAGTTATTTTATGGATTAGCTCCTTCCTGGAACAGGCCTTCTATCTTAAATTCTTTTAGGCAGTTAGGGGGAAGATCAAAGTTTCTTTCAGAGTCTCTTGTCCTAAAAAATAATCAAGCCAAGGAAACACATTTTGGGGTGGCCAATTCTGATCCCCCACACTGGTAACTAAAGTTTTTTTTTTTTCCAGGCAGTTATTAACTATGGCCTTCAGTCGTTTCCCCGCCCATTGTTAGCTATGCTGGTTATTCTTAAAAGTCATGTGGATAAGCGATATGTTACCAGACTTATACTAATTTCCTTGTCGATAACATCTCTGACATTTGAATCACCATGATAACGGGTGCTAAAGTTGTTTTTCAGGAACTGAGAGTCAACTCCTTGTCCGGTTTAAGTCGGTTGAGACCACAGACCCACCAACTGGGCCTGTGTGAATGTCCAATAGGTGACCCTTTGACGTCAGGGGGGCCAAAAACTCCATCCGCAGATCAGATCATGCTAATGCTGCTATTTTGAGAACATGCATCCTATGAAGAGCCATGAAGCTTGACTACATTTGCACACATCATTGATTACCTTGCCTTTCCTTCCCTTCAATCATCTATCCCCACACTTCAGACCACTCTGGCTTTTTATCCCATAAACATCCCTAATCCCCATTTTGGAAGAGGTGGATTTGAGCCTTATTCTCCCATCTCCTCCCTTGGCTGCCTTGTGAATAAACCCTTTCTCTGCTGCAAAACTCGTCATCTCAGTGATTGGCACACTGCCTGGTGGGCAAAATGGGCCTGGTTTGGTAACAGTATCAGGGTAACTGTGAGTCAAAGAAAACCAAAGACAGAGAAAATCTGAACAGGAACCAGAGAAAAAAAGACAGATTATCTTCAAAAGAAGAGCCATTTAATTGACTGAATTGTCAGTAGCAACCAAGGAGAGCAGAAGAAAGCAAATACTACCTTTCAATATCACTTTATAATCTATACTCAATAGAAATCATTAAAAAATGAAAAAGCAATACAAATCTCATGAAAAAAATAAATAGGCAAGTTCATTACCTATTGAATAAAAATAAAAGGTAGTTTTAAAATTCCTGACAATAATAACAGCTAAGTCCAAAGTGTGGGGGGAGGGTAAATGGATTTTACATTTCCTAATATAATCATCATATTATCCAGGAGGAGAGAGAGGTTTTCACTTACTAAAGACTTTGATAAGTTAATTACACATGCAGCAATTTTTATGGTAATGACTACTAGAAAAGAATCAGAATGTATAACTTACAAACTAGAAGTCATTAAAAGTGTACTGTAAAAAAACTTAGTAAACCAAAAGAAGACAAGAACGGAAAGACAAACTAATGTGCAATTGGTGGTACATACAGAAAATAAAATATAACATGGGATACTTACATTGACTATAATTGGATAAGTGCTTCAATTAAAAACAGAGAGTCAGCTTGGATTAGCATTCCAACTATATGCTTCTTACAATATATGCACCTAAATTGTAAGGATAGAGATGGCCAAAAGTAAAAGGAGACAAAATTATATACTATGCCAACGTTAGTAAAAAGAAAGCTGGCATAGTCCTATTACGGGCATACAAAGTACACATCACTACATTGTTCCATTTACATGAAGTTCTAGAGCAACTATCTTGTTTAAGAATAGACATGCAGGTGTTATGCTTATAGGCAAAGACAGGGGAAAAAGATGGCCCCAAATGACAATATAGTGGTAGCCATGAGAAGCTTGGATATGGGAAATAAAGAGAGATTCTGAGGTTCCTGGGAAGCCTTCAAGTTCTAGTTCTTTCTCTTTTTTTTTTTGTGAGGAAGATCAGCCCTGAGCTAACATCCAATGCCAATCCTCCTCTTTTTTGTTTTGGCCAAGGAAGATTGGCCCTGGGCCAACATCCATGCCCATCTTCCTCTACTTTTTATATGGGACGCCGCCACAGCATGGCTCGACAAGCAGTGCGTCAGTGCACGCCCAGGATCCGAACCTGCGAACCCTGGGCCGCTGAAGTGGAGCGTGTGCACCTAACCGCTGCACCACCGGGCCAGCCCTCAAGTTCTAGTTCTTGACCTGAGAGATGAACACACAGTGTAAATTATAAATATATATTTATATAAT